TATAAGCCTGCTTGTTGGAGGCTGCTGGGTTGGATCCCCTTGCTACGGCCCCCATGCAGCACCCAGCTCTGTTTCACACACAGCAGCAAGGTCGGGAACCCCAGTCAAGGTTGGGAGGAGAGAGCAAGGCTGCTCTCCTGGGAAAGGAGCAGGCTAACAGAGATCTTCAAAGGCAGAGTGGGTGGGTGGGTCAGATAGGGCAGTCCTGGCCCTTCTGCAATCTATTTGAACAAATATTTGCTACAAACAATGAATTTAGAGACAGAGACACAAAAAAATTGAAGAGTCTTAACTCTGATAGCTGACTGGGGGTGGGGAAGTGAGGGAGGAGGTATTTCATTCCCTACAAGCAGAGACCAGTGATTTTCCACCAGTGATTTAATCTAAATCCCCCAGAGAGTTCATTTACAAAAAATCAGATTGCATTATCGCCTAGGTCTCCAGGATACAACCCAATCCGTCACTAACAGCAACAGCCACACTAGCTTGGAAACCTCAATTTGATCACTCAATTCCAAGACTAATCTGTGGCTTTAAAAGCCAAAGGCAGAGGGAAGGGGGGGGGGGGGAAGGAACTCAGCATTTGGCCAGCGTTATCTGCGCGATGAGAGAGCTAATGGGCTAGACAAAGCCAGCCAAAATAGCCAGCAGATCCCAGGTTATTAATCGAAACCAAGCTTCAGAGCAGCCCCACCCAGGCAGTGCCCCAGGGCGGCCACATTCCAGGAATTCCTGTGTGCTGGGTGCACCGCTCCCTCCCTGGGTGCACCTACTCCCCACGGTCCTGGTGCTGCTCAGGGGCCAGGAGGAGTCCTGTGTGTCCCAGCTGCCAGGAGGGTGTAGAGCTGGCCTTGAGGACCCTGCCCTGCGGCCCTGTGTTGGGCTGCTGGGAGCTTGGGATGAATAAGGCTAAAAGGCCACAGCACGCATGCAAAGGAGGCAGTACCCCACTGTTTAGATGCTAACGATTGATAACGTGAACTCTTTCCAGTGGGCACCAGTAAAGGTTACATCAGCAGGGAATCACTAAGATGCAGAAGTAGAAGCAAAGAGAAAACTCAAACATCTGCAGGCTATATACCTCCTGCTGGCAATCCCATGCCGTCCTGCACAGACAGACCAAGCATTTCAAGAATGCTTCCTGAAGAAATGCTTATTCATGTTAATACCTAACCACTGAAAGCACTCAGTGTGCTGCTCAGGGCGGCTGGGAATACAGCTCCAAGCCAAGCAAGGAGCAGCTGAAGACACAGCAGCTCCCTGGCACAGAGCTTCTCTGCACCATGCTGTGAGGGGCTGCTCCCAGCAGCCCACCCACAGAGAGCTGCTGCAGGATTCACTCCGCTGCGATGGTAGGGGCAGACATCGTCCCATCTCCAGAATGAAGAAGTAGCTGTTACCCCACCAGATCACAGGGCCAGGCTGGAACACTGCTGAGCACATAGAGGAGGAAGCTCCACTCCCTGCTGTTAAATGACACGAGGAACATGCCCAAGAGCAAGGGCTCCCATTTGAAGAACAAGCTTGGATGACATTACATTTCCACAGGCTCTTGGAAAATGGGTCTCTTATGTAACAGCCAGGGAGAAGGAGGAGAAAAAGGGATGCAGGAGGACAAATCAGAATGTTAACTCTTTGTTTCAACAACAGTGGACTGACCCTCTTGCAGCAGAGCATTAAGAACGTAGAGGGAAGGGCCATGTACCAATCTATTGCCCTCCCTGCAAGGTCTAGACCGAGCACAAGCACAATCACTGCAGGCAGCTTGATGTGGCCAGCACCGCTGCTGGCCTTGAGCTAGGATGCAGGGAGTCATCCCTATGGGAGAGCAGTTCTTACCCAGCCGCCATTCTCCTGGATCCAGGGATCTAGATGGTCGGTCAAATACGTGGTCATCCAAGACACAATGCGTCCCACCAGTACCCGCATCTCCTTGTCCACGCTCTCCACGCACAAAGCCCCTCCGAAGGAGAAGAAAGCCACGATGCGCCCCCAGTTCACGCCATCATGGAAGAGTTCGTTCACTACCTGCTCAAAGCTCTGGTACGCTGTGCCAGGGGTGATGTGGAGCTGGGAGGTGAGGTCGCTGAAAGCCCTCCGGTACCTCAGCTCAAACTCATCCCCTGCATCTCTCAGCGCCTGCCTCACGTCAGATGCTCGAACAATTTCATGAACTTCCAGGCTGCTCCTGTGCACGGTGGCTCCATTCACTACGTGGCCGGCAGGCGGGTGCCAGGATGGGCTCCCATTGAGGACGCTGTCCATCTCTGCCTCTGCTGCAGTGTCAGTCCTGTTCTCATCCTCTTCCTCCAGCTCGCTCCAGCAGTGCCCCTTCTGCGAGAGCTTGTAGGAAACAAAGTCAATCACTAACTCCCGGTTACTGCTGGACATTTTCACACCTGAGACGCCCTCAATGAGTCCATGGTCCAGTGCACGAGCAGATGAGCACACTCAGCAGCTCCCGGCTCCACACTCCCTCGCGACTGGCGAACACATCCGACCTTTGCACAGACAGAGAAGAAAAGAGAGGCAAGGAAACGGTTAACACGACAGCTTGCTGCGCCGTGCACATCAATAGCTTAACGTTACACTGAGCTCATCATCCAGCTTCGCTGGGAACCGACGCCGCACACAGAACAGTGACCCCCCCCTCTCCTCCCGAGGTCAATCCCAGCCCTCCCGCAGCCCCGGGGCTCACCGGGCGCAGGCAGAGCCGGGGCTCACCGGGCGGAGGCTGAGAGCTGCGGGTGCTGCGGGCGGCCCGGCCCCGCTCCGCTCCGTCAGTCCCGGAGACGCCGCGGAGGCGGAGGCAGCACCGCCCCCACCCGGCCCCTCCCGTTAAAGGGCCCGGCCGCGCCCCCCGCCGGCATTGCCCAACGGGACCGCCGGTGTCCGAGCCGGGGCTGCAGCGCACCGCTTCCCGTTCCCATCCCCCGGGGCTCGCACCGGCCCCGTGCCCCTCGGAACGGCCCCCAGCGAGGGGAAATGGGAGGGAGAAAGGCTCCAAGTGTCCTTTAAAAGCAGCAGGTAAGAGGTGCGGGGGTCTCCTTTAGAGGTTTGTCCCCGTGGCTGCAGTGGGAGAAAAGATGCACAGGTATGAGAGGCATACCTAGGAATAAGATAGGAACAGAAATAACCCCAGGAAAAGTCTTCTAAAGACTTCCAGCAACTACACACAGGTGAAACCACCGCTGATGTGAAAATAAAGGGCGTTTGTAACGTTATTTAAACTGCCTGAGGTCTCTACACTCAGTTGAATGCTCTGTTTCCTCTGCACAGCTCCTGCTGCCCCTCCTCCCCACGTGGCATCTCTGTCCCTGCATGCACCCCAGCATCCTTCATGCAATGCATTCTTTGCCAGTCCGTATCCCCATCAGCCCCCCCCTGAGGTCTGCAAGGAGAGCTTGGAATGGCTGCTCCTCCCCAGGACCCATAGCAGTGGGCAGTCAGGGCTGCAGAAAGCACAGTCACTGTTCTGTTCCCGCCCCCTCGAGGAAAGCTGGGGAGAGAAAGCTCTGGGCTGGGAAATCTCAGCTCATTCCGGCTTCTGGCAGAGAGAGTTGGATTAAAGTAATTTGACGCTGAGAGAAGGCAACTCCCTGGCACTCCCACGGTGCTCCTACCCCACTCCACCCCTCCCTGCTGCTCAGTGCCAAGGCTCCGTGCTCCCACGGTGTCCCCACGGTGCCCTCATCCCTGCCAGCCCCAGCAGCCTGGGAGGTCCCACGGTTGCAGAGGGCTTCCAGCAGAACCGAGATTTAAGTTTCCTTCTCCAAAAGGCAGATAACGAAGCGTACGATCTACAAAGAAAGCAGGGGCCGCTCCTCTGCTCGCAGCGACGGTGTGTTAAGCTCTCAGTAATTTATGTGCTGTGCAAATGGCGTTTCTCTGTAACCTTCTTTTCGTGCCAAAGCCTGTCAGTGAGTCAGAGCGGTGCAGGACTGGGTCACGGGTAAGGGCAAGGGCCGCAGGGCAATGCACAAAGCACCGCCGTGCTGGTTTGTGGGCTGTGAGCCGTGACATCCCCAGGGACGGCAGTGCTGCAGGGCCGCAGCTCGGCCCCGACGGACGGGAACAAAAGGTGCCGCAGCCCAGGCGGGGCGGGCTGAGAGCTGCGGGGTTCGTCGGGATGGAGACCCTGGGGTACCGGCAGCCCCACGGACAAAGGGCTCCCACCCGTCCTAAGGGGAGGCCTCGGCGCACAGCCTGCCCACAGCCCGGCTTTCTCAGGGAAGCGGCTCCGGTACCCGCGAGGGACAGCGACGGCCCCAGGAGGGCTGCGGGAGGGGCGGCCCGGCCCCCAGCGCCGCCTCGGCCCCTCGCGGCCACCGTACAGACGCGCGGAGGGGCGGGGCCGCCCGCACGGGGCCCGCACACGAGGGCCGCCACAGGGCACGCGCCCACGCGGCCCGCCCCTCGCCGCCAGCCAATCATCCGCTGCGAGAGCTCTGCGAGGGCGGGGCCAGCGAGCGGCCTCTCTCATTGGCGGAAGCGCGCGTCGCTCACGGCTCGTCCCGCTCCGCCCCTCACCTCAGCGATCGGTGGAGGGTCCGGGCCCGTACAGACCCCGCTCCGCGGGCCCAACCGGCAACGACGCAGGGGGTGGCCGGGAGCCCCGCCGGGTCTCGGCCCGCTCAGCAGTCCCCGGTCTCCTGCCGCATCACCACCGAGCGGCCACCGCGCTCCTGGGCCGAGCCGGGGGGGTGGGAGGACGGGAGGGGGCAGCGCGCATGCGTGCAACGCCACGAGGTTGAGTGAGGAGCGATGCGCATGCGCGAAAACGGCGAGGCGAGAGTGCGTTGGGCACCCATGCCAGTGCGCAAGCGCAACGGCGCCGAGGACGGTTGGACTCGGGCGCCCCCTGGTGGCAGCCGCCTCTCCTCTGCTCGCAGTTCTCGTCTTTCGCGCATCGCTTCTCCTGCGCCCCGCACTGCGGTTCGGTGCTGTGCCCGCGGAGGTGAGGTGAACCCTGGGTAAGGCCTGAAGCCGATGTGGCACAGGGCTGAGATGGCCGCCTGAACCCATGGCCGTGGAGGGGTGTGAGGGGTTGGTGCGGGGCCATGACTTCTTCGGGACGTGGGGAATCGGGTGTGGGATCCTTCCTGGATCCTGCAATCGGGTGACCTGTCAGCTGTTGAGGGATACAGCATAGCAAGGAGGGCAGGAAGGAGCCAGCCCTGCTGTTGCACTGTTTCTACCCCTGCAGAACCCCTGCAGTAGGAGTGAGACAGACATCTGCTCATGGGAGCTATGAGCCGGGCATATCAGTGACCTGTAACACAGCAATGGCAGGAGCTGAGTGCTCATGGCTCTGTTCTGCAGTGCCCATGTGACCGTGGTTCTGTTGGCAGCTGGATGCAGAACAAAACACCCCCGCTGTCATCTCGCCGAGCCAGTCACTGCTGACTCAACGACCAAACGATCTTTAAACCGCTACAGAAATAGCTAGGGATGTTATCTCCTGCCCGCAGCGTCTTGGTGGAGCGAGCCAAGGAGCAAGGCGGCTGCTGCTGGTGTCAGGCGGGCCTGGAGGCTCTAGAGCCTTGTTGCTTTAATTCAAAGAGCCTGAAGGAAAGCACAGCCGTGCTGCCGCGGGTGCTGACCGTGCCCAGACCCGGCAGAGGGCGGATGTGGGCGCCGGATGCGGACCAGCCGGACGGCTCTCTGCCCTGTCTGGGAGACCCGCCTCCCAGCAGCTGATAGGCTGCCTCAGAGCTCCGCCTCCCTTGATTGGCCAGACCCCTCCCTCCCTGTGCATGATGGGAGTTGCTGTTTGTTCTTATTGTTGAGGCTGGGGCTCGGTACGTTTGGATCCTACATTTCCCATCAGCCTCTGCTGGGGAGAGGTAGGGATGCAGGGAGGGAGGGGCTTGCTCATCCGGGTCCTTTAGCGTCTGCGCTGCTCGCCCAATCAGCACGCAGCGAGGGCGTGCTCTGGGCGCTGATTGGTCCATTCGGACAACACGAGCCCCGTTTGAAATCCGCTAACGGCGGCGGGCAGAGGCCCCGCGCTCGGCGGCTGCGGCGCTGAGGTGAGTGGGAGCGGAGGGGAACCGGGGGTACAAGCGGCCTCACGGGGCTGTCCGCGTCCGCAGCCTCTCCTCGCGTCTTCCCCGCTTCCTGAGTGTATCTCGGTGACGGCGTCCCGGGTCGCTGTTGGGAGCGTTCTGGGAGTAGGCCGCGGCTCTGGGAACGGCTCTGGGAACGGCTGCGGGCGGGAAAACCTGTGCCTAAGATGGGGGAAAAAAAAGGGATTTGCTGCTTTGTAACGGGATCTCAGTCCTCAGAGAAGTAAGGAGCAGGAAAGGGGGTGTGCTCGGTAATGGAGAGCTATCACGTCGGCTGTCCTTTTTTTTATTTGGACGTCAGTTTATCTAATAATAACAGAGGTTACCTGCCTAAAAATAACGCTTGTTTCCTTGCTGTTGCTGTTCTTAGAACGTGCCATCTCCGTGCCTCTCAGAGCTCCTGGGCTCTCATTTACGGAGTGTGAGGTGGCCGGGCTCTATTTTGGGCTGCTGGAAAGGGAACAGCCCAGGGCAGCTTTGAGGCAGAGGCTGCTGGATCCTCGCTCCCCTCGGGCTGCTGTGTGCGGCTCCCCCTGCCTCCAGCCCGGCTCTCTGCCTCAATCCAAGCATTACACGATGGGATAATAACAGACAATAACACTGCTCTGCTCTGTGGTAGGGCAATGAACTCAGCGTCGGTTCTGTGCTGCAGGAAAGCATGTTTTTTTCCTCCCTTTCGCCCCCTCCTCCCCCCAGCTTTGAACGATGAAACTTAAGAAGAAAGGGAAGCTGTAAATCCAGAATTTAAGAATTCTCCCCCCTACTCAGGAGAAAGCGAGGGTGTTGTTGCTGGCTGCTGTCATCCCGCTGAGGAAGTTCACGTGGCAGCTGTGTGGGGGGATAGCCTCCCCCAAGCCTTTGGTGGCAGGATTGTATCGCTGGAGAAACAGTTTCCACGCCTTTATAATGGCTCAGTTTATATATTAGCCAGTGAAAAGCACCTGGGAACTTTGGGTTATCGTGGGGAGCTTTGTGCTGTAGGAGAATGAAGAAGCTGCCAGGTTGAATTAAAGGAGTTGCCCTGTTAGTGCAGTGTTCTGTGATTAAATGGCAGTCAACATTGAGTTTGACAGCAAAAGGTACTGGAATCACTGCAGCTAATGTCTGTGTGGTGTCCTCAGCCCTTGTTGGGGGGTTCTGCTTACTCCTGTTTGAATAGATTGGATTTGTTTGGTTCCCAGTGGAATTCAGGATGTCCTTTTCACACATCTGGTACGTTTGGGTTCTTTTTGTCTTTCCAAACTGTAGGGGAACTGTTGGATCATGGCCCCAACCTCTGATTGACCCCTTGAGGTGAGCACTGAGTCAGCTGTGGGAGCACAGGTGAAGGCAATTCACCTGTGTGATTGGAAGAGGTGGAGCCTGGCTGCACCTCTCCTACACCCCATTTAAGGGCTGACTGCCACTGAGGAAGGATCTCTTTCTGGAGATTGCTCCTCATGGAGTTTCTTGCAAGTCTACAACTCTGGTGAGCATTTCCATTTCTCTCTGCTTATCTTTTCCAACGTGATAATCTTACTAGCCTAACTTCTCTGTATACATATTGATCATCCAATACTTTACAACATCTGCATACTTACTGATCTACCTACCTAGTAGGATCTTAGAGGAAGTAACATCTGCAGCTTATGAAGCTCCAACGGTGAACTGTCGTATGCTGGTGTTCCAAATGGACCAGAGGAGCAGGAAAGAACAGGTTTTCCCTGCACCCTCCTTCTCCCAACACTGAACCCCTCCAAATGCGGGCCTCTTGTGGTTAGATCACGATTGTGTAGCTGAAGCATCCCCTTAGCACATGCTTGGTGCTGTATTGCAGCCAGATCAGTGCTGTGCAGGTGTCACCCGAGTTGCTCCTCTCTGGCCTCATCCAGTCAAAACGTTTCTGGCAAGAAATTCACAACTGCAATGAGATAAAGACACTGAACACATCTGTGATGGAATCACGTCAGCGTTTTAAAGCTAATTTGGATTAGAGTGAGGTGTGAAGTTATTCTAAAATACCCGTTGCACTTGCTGTTGGATCAGTCTTATTCTGGGATAGGAATGCTTGTTCCAATTTAGCTTAATTCTTTATCAAAGCCAACTAATCCAAACCATGCTGAGGCACTCTTCTGGAACGTGCCGAAGTGTAGTTACTCAAAAGAAACCTGATGTGTAGAGAAGCCCATGGTCTGTTCACCTTCGCAGATATGGCTTTGCTGCTCTGTACAGAACCTGTATGGGGTCATATCTATGTGTAGCTTATTTACGTCAGTCAGGACAGCGCAACTAGAAAGAGAATTACAATTTTAGTCTTGCAGTTATTTTTACTGAATGAATTTGGGCTGTTCTTGAAAGCAAGGGAACTGGATCTTTGCTCTGTACTGCTGTTCTTGAGTTAGGGTGGTGTGAACCATGCACAAACTGTGCTGTGAGCCACCCTGCAGAATGGGGCTGTGGGTCCTCGCAGAGTTCTGTGGACCTGTAATGGCAATTCCTTAGCCTCAGACTTGGGGGGGTGTGTAGGGAGTTATGAGGAGGATGCTGTGAGTTCACCTGACTGAAGCACAGGCTCTCAGGGGTTCGTTCAGAATAACTCTACTGTCCAAAAGAGTTGGAGTACGAAACCATGGTATTGGTGCACACTTGTTTTCATGGCTGATGATTCAGTTCAGACTGGTGTGGGGAGGGAAAGGGCTCAGTGAGGAGGCACTCCTGCATTGCTTGAGCCATGGAAGAATACAGACTTTATGTGGCAAAAAATTGGAAACAATTTGGCTTGTGGGAGGTGTTACAGCCCAGCAGCAGTGAGCAGTGGAAACAAGTAGCTGTGAAACACGATCCCTGCAGCTCCAGCTTGGTGGACTGACCGGAGGGTGAGGGGAGAATGCAGATGACGCATTTGATTTTTAAAAAAGTGGGTAGTGTTGACAGAAACCCTATCTTGATTAAGGGTGGTAGGAAAGCATTCAATTCCAGCCATGTCTTGAGCTCGGTTACAGTTGGTTTTGGCTGAGATTCTTCTGTTTGCCTTCTTTGGATCTTACCTTGACATCTTCAGTCATGGAGGTGATGCTTCTGTGATGGCATTCTTCCCCTTACAATAGCTGTGCTGGGGCACTGTGGACTTCTCAGTGCAGCTCCTTTGGAAGGTGTAGGGCTGTGGGTTAGAGGCAGCAGTGATACCTCCCGAGTGCTGCTTTAATTTACTCTTAAACTCCTGTTTCTGCAGCTTGTTGCCTAGGGGGAGCTATGTGGGCTCAGCCTGGACCAATGGCTGAGGCCTTAGAATTTGTGGGATGTGAATATTTTGTTTTGGAGTTGGTTGGGCTCCAAAAAGCCATGTTCAGGGGATTTCCTTTGGGAGTGTTTTATAACATATTCTCCAGGGCTTTGCCTTGTGGCTAAGTGAGGCATTATAAAATCATTATTAAAAAAAAGCCTTTGCAAAAAGGTTTTGTAGTTCCAATTTGCGGATTTATTACTTAGTTGCTGTCTTTATTCCTGTTCCCTTGTATTTAATAACACTTGTTGACATAAGGACTCCTTCTGCTGTCATTGCTCTCCTAATTAACTGCAGGGACTGATCTTGACGCTCTCCTACTACTTGGTTTGTTTACAGCCTGGCCAGCCTCTCAGCGGACTTCCACAGGACTTGCCAGCAACCCAGTTCTGACTTCTTCCTGCTTATTGCTCTATGACAATGCTTTGCAGAACTCTCTTCTGTTTTGAAAATCAGTATTCTCCACAATGGTGCTTCTCTGTGTTATTAGCTCTTGTTTGTAGTGTTTCAGAGGGAGAAAGGTGGAGCTTTGCTGTGCTCTGGAATCCACCACTTTGTCAGACTTTTGCTCTATGAATCCATGTCTGGTAACTGTAAGAAGTCCTCTTTGCTGTGTGTGGTGAGGGAGGAAAGAACAGATTGGTCACTGTCTGAAAAAGCTGTGTGCTTTACTTCTTTGTGGAAATACATTCCTAGCCTTGACAGGTACAAATAAAACTTTTGCAGTTTTTTTGAAGCCTTCTTGATGTTTTTGAACCTGTGCTGCTTGTGAGCCCTCCTGTGCTAAGCCTGTGAATTACAAGATGGGAAAACATACCAAAGATATCTTTAGCATCTGTCTCTAGTAATAATGCAGGAGTGGGCACCTGTGCTGGGATCTGGTTTAACAGGTGACCAATTCTTGTTGCCTGAAGGGTTGTAACAGTGCAGGTGGAGGCCTCCCAAGGGCAGTGTGAAGATGTCTCGCTCAGAATCTCGCTACTCCTTCGATGTCCCAAACCCCTGCATCAACTTTGCAACTTTAAGCGATGATGATGTACACAATGCAGACTCCTGGTTTGGTAAGTTGTTTCCAACTCCTTGGTTTATTTTCTCTTTGGACGAGGGCTTGCTGTGATGCTTGTTTGGCTTCTGTGCCAGTGGATGAGTCATTATTGACTGCATCATTCATCGAGCTTGGATTTTTTTTAATTCAAAATTTGATCATGATCTGTAACTTGTTAACATCATAATGGTATTCAGAGGTATTGTTATGAACTTCAAATATAGTGTATATAGTGAAAGTCTTCCCTTTCTTCACAGACCAGCAAGCCAACCTGGAGAATATCCCTCCTGCAGAAAATCTGGGAAAGGTCTTGCAGAACAGTCCTGCTTTTTCAAAGCCTGCTCTCATTCTTTCTTCTCTCACGTCACAAGGAATAACAAAGAGTAAGCTGGCACAGGATGGGGAGGAGGGGATAAATTTTACCTGTCTTTCACTAGGGAAATGAAAAAACCTCAGTTTGGCTATTTTGGGACCATCTTCTTATATTGCTGTGTAGCAAAGTTTCATGTGGCTTCATTTTTGCATTCTACTGTGTGTGTGTGTATATTTATGAGCTGATCTTTGTTGCTGTTTGCAGGTGAAAACTGTGAAGAGGATGGAGCAGAAGTATCAGAGACTGATGTGGTTCCTCAGGGTACTGTTGGATCCCTGACAAGCTGGAGGGCTCCTGCTGAGGCCCCTCAAAGGTGAAATACTAGTATTTAGTTTGTGTGAAGATTGATAGCAGTGTGATTAAGCAGGTTCTTACTCTCAGTGTTTGCAGTTCTAGCTGTTTCAGGGTTGTCCTGAGGGACTAATGCTCTCTAGCTCAAAGACTGTGTTTTGGGATAGCTGATCTGCTTGCTAAGCTGGAAGGGTAATCTCTAGGGTGGAAATGTAATGCAGTGTCTCACATACTTGTCAAATGAGACTCTATGGCACTGGGAGCTTCTGGAATGTGAGGATATCTGAAACTGAGGTGACTTATAAAGTTTCTTTGTTTATGAGTTGGGCAGAACTTGTTGATGTGAATCAAGGGGTTCTGTACACTTGTATACACCAAAGACTATTATGTTTATGGATTGTAATCTTAAGTCATTTATGCTGCATTTGGCTTGTTACATTAAGCACACAGCATGGTGGAGTTGGTAAGGCACTGACATAGTGTTGTACTGATCACGTGTCTTTTTGGACCTCGTGGGAAAACTAACCTCTACTTTCTGTTCCACTCCAGAGCGGGCAGAAGACCAGCTACAAAGCAAAGAAAAACACAGCAACGCAAACAGCCAGCTCGAGTGAAAGTGGAGAAAAATGATATTGCATTGGCTAACAAGGAAGAGGCTCCTCCCCTGAAAAAAATGAGAATGTATGTCATCAAAGTCCTTCTGTGTGGGGCTGAGAAAGGGATTGAAAATATTTCCTTTCAAAAGGATTTCCACTTGGCTGGAAGGGTTCTTAGGTTCTCAGAGCTGTTCTGAAGGTTAGGGACAGGAGACCAAAGCCTGACTCCTGGATAGTGGTCTCATAGATGAGGAGAAATGTCTGTAAGATGTGAATTCAGTGCTCTGTTTGATGGTGAAGGTGTGAATGAAATAAGCTTGGGATTCTGAAGCTTTTTATTACATACTCAGTGCCTGTCAGCTAACTGAAATCTGGCTTACTTGTCTGACTGGAAGTCACCAATTAGTCATAAGTGTTGGAGGAGTCACAGCTAAAGTATTCATCAGGTTTTCTTAGCTGCTGAGATATTACTTATCAATAAGCTTAGGGCCAGGAAACTTTTTTTTTTTTTCAAAGCCAGTTTTGCAAATAGTCATACTTAGATGAACTGTAGTACATCTACCTCCTCAGAAGTAAAAGCTTAAGTTCCAAAACTCAGTAAATAATCTTCCCTTCTACAGCCGTAGTGTGCCAGGGAAAACTAAACAGTCTGTACCTGGGCCCATGGTGAGGTAAGGCCCATCTGGCATATCTTAACTCACTGGGTGTTGGGATGTTATGTGGGATGGTGAGAGCTGCAGGTGATCTTTTGTTTAGAGCATGGTAGTTGGTGATTTACCCTAACAACTTGCTACTTCAGTTCTGGCAGCAAGGAGAAGCTGAGGGATGCATCCCCAAAGAAAGAGCTTTTGCATCATCCTGACCTGTCCCCAGCAAGAGGGAAAAACAAACTGACTGTCCCCTCCACGCCAACAATGTTAAAGTATGTAATTTGCTGTGGCTGAAGCTTGTTTTTGCTGATGACAGTTGATTTGGGTGGCAGTCCTTGCTGTAGTGTTTTTAACTTCAATTTAGCATGTAATGGCATTGCACTTGGTAAATAGGAGATCAAGGCAACCATGAACAATAGTTCACTGACTTTTCCTGTGCAAAGGAAAACTTTCCCTTTAATTTTGAAAAGAAAAAAAAGTTGTTCTGATCAACTGTGCATGCCACAAATGGGTATGTGGGATGGCAGAGGAAACAAAATCCCAACAGGTATTTTCTAAATAATCTACTTCTAGAAAGAATTGTGCTTCTGCAGTCATCTCAGAGATGAGCATGTTCCTTTCCACTAATATACTAATAACCAGTGAAGGGAATATCTCAGTCTTTGATGTGCTTCTGCAGGAGGACCAATACTGCTGGCAAGCTGAAGAGTACAGAGGAGCAGGAGTTGGAAAAGATGCAGCAGCTGCAGCAGGAGGTCATGGAGCTGCGAAAGAAGAATGAGGAGTCCCTGAAGGCAGCTATTGCTGGAACAGGTGAGCTCCAGCTAAATTGCAAGCTGAGCCTGTACTGGGCTAGAGAGTGCTGCATGAGGCTGTACAAGTATTTTTTTGGAAAGCAAACATTCCAGACCTCATACTACACGTTATGGTTTAGGTGGCTTTTAATGTACATTTCTCCTTAAACTTCCTGGAAACAAAGTTTTATTTTGTCATGTTTTGAAAGATTCTAAAACAGTTCTTTAAAAACTCCACCAGATATTAGGAAAGGAAATTAAACGTTTTCTCCCCCTTCCCAAAAAGTCTTCCTCTGATCCCACCCCAAAAGGTTTCCAGTCCTTACATGCTGTTCTTCCCTAGGACAACCTGTGAAGAGAGCTGTTGGTCAAGTAACGAAGCCAGTTGACTTCCATTTCTGCACAGAGAATAGAATTAAACAACATGTGGAAAGCCAGCCTGAGAAAGAGTACAAGGAAGTGGATTTTGCAGCAGTACTGAGGAAGCATCCTCCTTCTCCAGTAAGAACCTGAGTATTGCCAGTGCTCAGCTGATGAGTAATTCTGCACACCACTTTTCTCTTTCCTTTGTTCTGCTTTTGCAACACATGCTGCTGGTATCTCTCAGCTGGTAAATTCTTGAGACGGGGAGCTGTGGATATGTAACTGTTAGCTCACTGTATGCCTGCACTGCATAAGATGCTAAAGGATGCTTTTGAAAAGCTAGACCCTTCAATATTGGATCTATTAGCTGCTACATGTTATGCTTCAGTCTTCTACTTTGTACCTTTTCTTGATATGGCTAGCATGCATAGTCAGTGATTTATGTGTAAATATATTAAGTGTTGTCTCCTTTTTAAATAAGGGGAAGAAATTGAAGCTTCCTTCCCTCTCTGATTCACAATATCTTTCTCTTAAAAGGCCATAATGACTGCATTCTTTTTTTTTTTTCTCCAGATGCGAATGCCGAAGGGACCCACTGTCCCCAAACCTTTCAATCTGTCCACGGGAAGCAAAAGAAAACTGGAAGATACCTCATCAGAGTATGTGTCCCTTGCTCAGCAGGTTGAAGCATTCCAGAAACGCACACCCTCTCGTTACCATTTGAGGAGCAGGAAATCTGATGAAGGTAAGCAAACCTATACATGAACGGCCAGGAAACTGCACAGAGACTCTCTGCTTACTCTGCTGGGCAAGCAGTCTATCTGTTGCAGGCCTTGCCATTAACTGCTCAGCTCTGTTACTTGAATTTTAGGCCCAGCTCCAGCAAAGCCAGTGAAAGCTCGACTTACCAACCCTAAAACACCAGTGCTTCAAACAAAGCACCGCTTCAGACCTGTTGCCTGCAAGAGTGCAGCAGAATTAGAAGCAGAGGAAATTGAGAAAATTCAGCAGTAAGTAAAGGCTTGGTTCTGATCCTCTGAGAGAACTGCTTGTCACTGGAACAAAATGCTATGTTTTAAGACCCTTTTTTGTGTGTGTATGTGTAAAAGAATGAGTAGCATAAAAACATTTCAGCTGCTTCTGGGTGTCGTGCACAATCCTGTGAAAGTTAATGTAAGGATGTAAAAGCTGCCAACTTATTTTGAAGAAGAGAGTCTTCAAGAAGAGATGATTGTTGAGTGCAGCTTATGATTAGTAAAGCAAATCTGGTATAGCAACAATAGTATAACCTGCATACAGCTTAAAACTCTCCTGTAAGCTAAATTTTGGATTTCTAAGAATGCAATCCATAAGGTGGTCCTTGAAGTCTTGCTTTTTCAAAAAGCAAAGGAGTTGCTAACTAAAGCTGCTCACAGAACAATGCATATGTTTGGCACAACTGTTTACGTACCCGAGTACTTCTGACTTATGCCATGAAAAGCCATTTGCTAGAAGCTGCATATTGCTTCATGCAATGTGTAGGTGACTGTCTGTCATTCTTGTGTAGGTACAAATTCAAAGCACGAGAGCTCGATCACAAAATTTTGGATGGTGGGCCAATCCTGCCCAAGAAACCCCCTGTGAAGGAACTCACACAGCCAATTGGCTTTGATTTGGAAATAGAGAAAAGAATTCAGGACCGTGAGAATAAGAAACAGCAGGAAGAAGAGCACTTCAAATTTCATTCCAGGCCATGTCCAACTAAAATCCTGGAGGATGTTGTGGTAAGTTTAGTAATACCCAAGAATTAGGACTGAGGTGACAACTAGCTCCAAAGTGTCCTTAGCATGTTTCATTGTGTATTTAATTGTCTTCAGTAAATGATGTCTATCATTAACGAAGAAGAGCAGTGAATGCAGAGTGCAATATGTAAGACTGCTTATCTGTGGCATTTTTTTGTTGGTTTGACTCCTTACTGTCTGTCTTGAACAGGGTGTTCCAGAGAAGAAAGTGCTTCCTGTTACCGTACCCAAGTCTCCAGTCTTTGCCTTGAAAAGCAGAACCCGAATGACTAGCAGAGATGAAGAAAAGGTAACTGTGGATGCACTGTTGTAAAGCCTTCCTCTTCCACTGTGGTGACTGCCTTGGTCATCCTGTCATATGTTTGCTTGTTGGTGATGCTCTGGTTTGGCTAGCACTTTCCCTCCTGCTAGACAGTCCCCCACTGGACACCTTTCTTTGCTGAAGATTTAATTACTGCTACTCATTTTACAGAAAATGAATTCTCTTACAGAAGAACAGAATAATTTTTAAAACATGAGGACACTGCCTAGGCTGTTAGATGTGTTGCCTCTACAAATGAGGAAAGTAAACTGCTTACAGTTCCAGAGAATAAAGAATATTGGCTTTTTCTATTTGAGAAGGACAGATATTGCACTTGAACTTAGTCACTGTCTCACTCCAATTACTGAAGGAGATGGTTCAAATTATATATGCCTGGAGTGAGATTAAGAGCCAAATGAGGCATCAAATGTTGTCCAACCATGCCTGTAAATTGGTGCTACTTGGTTTATTATTTTCTTGTAGTATCTAAAGTGTTTTCTTGATGTTATTCTGACCCTTACTACAGGGATTCTAGACTTTGGGGCCTGAGTTGTAACCTTCCTGCAAAGTGCTGTGTGTCAGATCCTAATACCTACTATCTCTTTAGGAAAAGGAGGTTGCCCCTGTGATCAAAGCTCACCCTATGCCACACTACGGAGTGCCTTTCAAACCTAAAATGCCAGAACAGAGGCATGTGGAAGTTTGCCCCTTCTCTTTTGATTCCCGTGACAGAGAGCGGCTAATACAAAAAGAGAAAAAAATAGAAGAATTGCAGAAGGAAGAGGTAAGAGCTAAAAATTACCTTGTATTCCACCTCATAAGTAAAAAAAGGTTGTTGCAGGACTTGCTTCTTGCTGTTGTCTGTTAAGCATCCAAAGCTTTATGCATTTGCAGAAAGGGCAAGGAATATTTCAAGCTATTTCTTTCAGGTGCCAAAGTTCAAGGCGCTACCTCTACCTTATTTTGACCACGTGAAGCTGCCAGAAAAGAAGGTCAAAACCCCAACTCAGCCTGAGCCATTCAATCTACAGATTGATGAACGGGGAGCTGCTAAGCAACAGAGCTGGAAACAGCAGGTAGGATAAACAAAGGTAACAGATATGAGCAGACTTAAAGTAGTTGGGGTTGGGCTCAACTTCAGCACTTGAGATCAGGGTCGTTAATGGATTGTTCTGTACTTGGCACGAGATTTTATTATGAGTAAGGGACTGGTGATTTGGGTTTCTTTCACCCGTTACAGTGGGTGATGGGACCTACCATGACTGCATGAACAGCTGTGGGGTATCTGCTAAGCAGCAGCTATGTGCTGCTGAATCCCTTTGACCATCTCTGTGCTGAAGGATTTATTGATGTATGAGTAATATATTGCTTTTCTCATGTCAAGTTTGCAGTGGAAACTTGAAGATTATCCTGGTCTGTGATCTGAAACTGTTCAAGTTTTTTTTTTTTTCCAAAAGTAACTGGCAGGCAACAAGTGACACATCTTCTTGGCTTTAATAATGTTTTCTGTGCAAGTGATCCAATTTGAAGTCAGCCTGGCTTTTCCAGTGTCTGGAGTGCTGAATTCTGTGTGGGGGAAAGATGGTGTTTTTGTTATTCCTGGCACTTGATGGGTTCTCTTCTCATGCAGCTTAAAGAAGACTTGAAAAAGCAGAAGGAGGCAGCATGTTTTAAAGCTCGTCCCAATGTAGTGGTGTACCAGGAGCCTTTTGTGCCTAAAAAGGAAAATAAGTTGTTATCAGGTAGAGTACTTGCTACGTAGGCTTGGTTGGTAACTCAGAACTGATGCAATTAAATGATGCTTAGGCTGGCTGTTGCCTCTTTCTTTCACAGTGCAGTGAGTAGTGCTGTGCACTTAACTAATTCCCAACAGCTTGCCTCCCTAGGGAGTGTGGGGGAGTTTCCTCTCTGCTGCCCCCCTGGCCCACACTAACATGGCAGCTGTATTTAACAGCTATGCTACAATTGGCAGATGATTGATGTGTGTGCTAGCTTGGGATAAGGGTAAATAGTATGCAAGGAGCTCCCTGTAGAGACAGATGGCATTTCTGCAGCAGCTGTCAGTCTTTTCTTCCCATTTGTAATGAGATGAATGCATCTACAACTTAGTTTATGTGGAGCTAGAAACTTCATAGGGTACAGGAGTCAAAAACTTGTTTGTACTAACAATTGTGTGCTTGCTCTCTCCTATGAGAACACCTGTGGCATGGGTAATGTCTGCGTTAGTGCTGCTCGTGTTTAACTGTAAGCTTTTCCCTGGAACCCCAGAAGTGTCTACTAACTACCCTCACAAGATGAAGCACTCCACAGGGAGGCAGCTTCTTGATATTAGTACTGCTCTGCTTTACCTGACTGCCTTTGCACCAATGTTATTCCCTCTATTTCTAAACTTAGAGAGCCTTTCTGGTTCTGTAGTTCCTGAAAGCTTTGAGCTGGCAACAGAAAAAAGAGCTAAAGAGCGACAGGAGTTTGAAAAACGATTGGCAAACCTAGAAGCCAGAAGAGAGAAGCTTCAAGAACAAGTCAGACAGCAAGAAGAGGAACGTAAAAAGGAAGAAATTGCTAAGCTAAGACAAGAACTGGTAAGTGAACTCATTCTAAACAGGAACCCAAAGGAATGTGTGAGTGTACTAAATGAGCTAATGTCAATGTTGAACTGCTTTAAGACTGTATTTTCAAGTCTCCCTGTCACAAACTGACTCCTTACTAATGTCCCAACTGGTCATTTAAAAGTAAAAACTGAAAAGGTTGCTGAGATAACTGATTTTGGAGCCGTACACGTGTGGAGTGGAATAATCCTAGTGAAACCCACAGCCTCTGTCTTGTGTGTTCCTCGTGGCTCACTCCAGTGACCAAGGCAGATCAGATGTCTGCCTGCATCCCACTGACGTCTGGCCTGCATGTTCCAGTTTTATCATAAATGCAACCATTTTCTTCATGTTGATGTTGCTTTTTCCAGGTTCACAAGGCAAACCCAATACGCAGATACCGCAGCGTAGAAGTGAAGCCCAGTGAGCAGCCACTGACTATGCCGAAATCTCCAAACTTCTCGGACAGATTCCGATGCTAACAAGCATCCATGTGATAGTAGGAGGAAAGCACATCCTGCTCTGTGCCCTTGATGTGCAGAGAAGGAGCAGTTGTTTGTATGTGGTTCCCCTCAGTCTCAACACCTATACTTGGCTCCGTTATCGTTTGAGTGATTTAACTCCATTTGAGGCAGATGGCAGAGGCACGGCGTACTGAGAGCCATACAGTCTCCGTGGCCTCATTTTTTACATGTAGACATCTTAGTCTCCAAAGACTAAACCAGGTTTTTATATTGTATACAAACATTGTGTACTTAAACTAAATAAAAAATCATAATTTGACTGCTGTTTCTTGCTAGCAGGCTCAGTCTCATTCCAAGAGAGCTTTTCTTAAAGGACACTCTGAACCTGCAGGGATGTGTGCATCTGGAAGAGCTGCCTTGTCTTTGTACACCTAAGTATTGATTTCAGTTTGCTGTCTCTTAGGCTTTTACAATATATTAAGTTTGAGTCGTGTTGAATAATACAAGACTTCCTCAAGCCAGCGTGTTGTAGGTCTGTCATGATGTTGAGATGAATGCTGATATTTGTCTTGTCTTGCTTTAAAGTAGTTCTCTGTGTGTGGTAGAGCATTAAACCTTCTGCTGTTTTATAACTGAAGTCATTCTATTTGGGGAACCAGTTAACTGGCAAATGACTCTTGCTGTTTTGCTGCCTCTCTGGCTTGTGCCAGCACAGCTATGTTGGCTAAAGATGCATTGTCTCCTGGCCAGTCTAGCACAGCCAGGAAAACTAAATATAGACCAAATGGTCTAAGGTGCTAGAGGACAAAAATTGCAGCATTGTAAAGAGATGATCAAATCCAGATTAAGGGATCATTATCAGTAAACTTTAGCATCATGATGAAATTTCAAGGCATGTCAGGCTGCAGGCTTTTCCTTTCTCTTAAATGATAGGGGCAGGAAGTCCTACAAGAGCTAAACTGAAAGCTGAACATTCACTGTACCTGGAGATTCTTGTTTGGATGTGGGTGTGTGTTCTCCTAAGTACTGTGCAGTTAGAAAGTGACTGAGGGACTTGAGAAGAGATTTTTGTGTGGGTTGAATGACACTGCCGCGTGGTCTGCAGAATGCAAGAGGAACATGTAAGTGTACTCTTCATCACATTTTCCTGAAAATGCTCAGATCTGCATGGATCTCCCTGACCAAAGGTGTGCAGACTTTTCTCAGTGTGCCATAAGCTTACTGCTGTTGCAGTGGAGCTATTCCATCTGAGCTGCCAGACAGAGAAATTGGGACTTTGAATGTGCCACCAAGAAACTTCTCCAGCCTCCAGTGCCAGTTCCTGTGAAGCAGGCAGTGTGTGGGCTGCTGGAGCTGTAAATATTCGTGGCAAGGCAAGGGAAACCTGAATGCTGATGAGCTGTGGAAGAATGTGAAGGCAAGCAGGATAATGAGGCTGCTGAGCTGCAGCAGACATCAATCCCTGAATGATGGAGCAACTGCGTTTCCGTGATGGCCTTACATGGCTTCTGCTTTGGACTTGAGAAAGGGTTCGTATGCCCAACAGCTTGCCATTTTTTTCCATCTATATCACTGGGGCTAATAAAAGATATTACCTCTTCCTGCAGATATGGCCTCTTATATTCCCCATATACTGCAAACTTGGTGAAAGAGGGCCTGGAGCTGCCATGCTGCATGGGGCAGCAGGCAGTGCTGCTGATGGGGTGCAAAAGCTTAACCTGCTCTCTTAATTAGGAGGAAAGCATCCACCTGCTGGAAAATGCCTCCTGCTTGAAAGCAGTAAATGCTGGGTGTTCTGGGGAGGAAGAGGCAGAAACACAACTCAAAGTTCACCAGCTTTGAGTGTGCATGGAGGGTGAGTGGGACTGGAAGTAGGAATAATGATGGAGAACTGGGGTGGGGTGGAATCTCCAGTGTTGTTTTTTTTAAGTCCTGTTTCTGTGGAGTAATTTGCTGAACTCACACTAGAACTGGAACTAAAGGCAATGTTTTCCTGGGCTTTATGTTGAACGGTAGCTGAGAACAGGAGGATTTTATCAGCTGGCAAAGAGGATCCTGACTAAAACAGCTTTGTTACGCTGTCAGACCCCTGGCCTCGATTCTGTCTGCCTGCTCTCAGCTGCTGGAAGCTGTGGTGCATCTCTTGATGGCATTGGGATTTTTCCCTGTCTGTCCCTATCAGACACAATGTGATAGGATTGTGGCTCGCCCAGGGAACCCACAGTGCAGATGGAGGCAGTGAAGCTGTTGACCACATGTCTGGGTTGGTCTGTGAGGGGACAGGCAGGCTGGCTTGTGTTACCATGGTTCAGCCAGCACTCAGGTGGGGTCTGCTTGTGGCTCCACTGCTCAATTTAGCTGAGGTGTTGGGTTTCCTGGAGCACGGATGGGGCTTGGCTGTGCAAAGAACCTTCCTCACCCATGGAAAGCATAAAGGTTAAAGTACGCTGCTGGAGTTGTGACAACCATCGTCGCTAGGGAATGGTGTGCTTGGTGCTGTGCCAGCCTCCCTGGGACAGCCTGGGTTCCAGTTGCAGCCAGTGTAGACTATGGCTTGAGTACTTGAATGAGGAGGCAAAAAAACCTATAGCCTGAGAACCACCAGTGCTGGTTGGTTTGTCTTCTATGATCCACAGAGATTGGAGCACCGTGCCCCAAAACCCAGTGTGCAGCAGCTGTGCCCTTCCTGCAGCCTCCAAATCTTCCTTGTGAGATGGCAGTCTTCAGCTTGCTTCCCATTCCCTGCAAAACGTCTTTTAGGAGCACCGAAACAAACCACAGCATGCTCTTCCTTCACACCTCCTTTAAGACAACAGCATTTGTGCCCACTTCAAGAGCTTTGCTCCTCACCTTGTCCTAAAATTTCCTCCCAGGCTCCAACAGTTTCTTAAATGAGACTAAGACTGGATGAACCAGGATACTCGCTGGGCTCCAGGTGCTGCTCTTGGCCTGCCGAGTTGGGATGCAGCTCTCTTCCTTTGCCCTCAGCCACTTCCCAAGCGTGCCACGCAAAGGTGGCACCTGCTGTGAGCCCATGGCTGCACGGAGGTGCCTCCAAGTGCCTGGCACCAATGCATGGAGGCCAGGCCATTAGCTGGCAATGACAGAGCTGTTGCTGCTGCAGTCCCTGAGAGCCGTGGATACCAGCACTGCCCGAAGCCCTGCGTGCCCACACTGCCCAGCACGCCCGTCATGCGTTTATGGGGTGGCGGAAGCGCCGTATCCGCTCCTGTGTGACCCCGTTGGTGCCCTGCTGAATACCAGACGCTGCCTTTGATCTCTGGAGGAGGGGAGCTGAGCTGTGTGAGCGCAGCCCGGCTGCCTGCAGCCACGAACCTGCGCTGCCGGGGCTGCAGTGAGGCTGCATCCTTCAGAGCAATCGTTGCTGCTCGTGTTGTGGTTGTGGTGGGAGATGCCTGAGGTTCTTCTGGCATTCCACAGAGCTATCAGAATGAGCAGAGCTCCCCAAGGAAGCAGCTCCCAGCCCCATACTGTACTTTCTTCTTTGTTTAAGCCTCCCCCTGAGCCCCAGCCCTGGGGCTGAGCAGTGAAGGGGAAGGAGAAACTGCTTCTTTCCCAGTCTCTTCCATTTGGGGCGGGCAGCAGGGTGCTGGGGGTATTTTCACTGTTCCTCTCTTCTGCAGAAGCAAATGTGATCACAGCCCTTCCTGCCTGATCCTGCCCCAGGCTTTTGGGTTTCCTCCAGCAGTGGCCATATCCTCACCTGGAATCCTGCTCTTAATGCCCTGCACGGACCACAGCTGACCCCGGCCCGCAGCCCCGCAAGCTCACTGGGAGCATCTCATGTGTGCGAAGGGTAAGGAAAGGCCCACGGGCAGCCAGTGCCCAGCATTAACATTTGCTCATACTGTGAGCATTGCATCCCCCCGGCACTGGAGGCAGGAAGAGGAGTAGTGCTGGCCCTATCGTGGGGCTCTGCTCCTATATTCAGCAGTGGGACATGAGGCCGTTGGCAACCATGCACCTGAGAAGGTCGTGCTTCACCCTGCACTTTCCATTGAGGTTGGTTAAGAAAGAGCATAGCACGGGTCTCCTTTTAAAGGTTTATCCTGGAGCTTTTCCCACCCAGGTTGATTTTAGGGCTCCTTTTGTCAGCAGGGTTTGTGCTTAGAGCAGAAACTGCTGTGTAACAGAGCTCTCTTCCCCTGTGATGCCCGCAAGAGGGAGAGCACAGCAGTGCTGGTGCCACATGTGGTCCTGAAGCCCCTTCCCACCTCTCTGTGTGCGCTGTGCCAGGGCAACCCTCCAGCTCCTGGGGGTGCTCTGCCGGAGGGGATCCCCAGGAGCAGCACTGGGCCATCTCCTACCCACACTGCATGCAGTGCCCGAGCAGCAGCAGTGGTGCTCCTGGGGACAAAGCAGGGCAGCTGGAGCGGGGCCAGGAGCAGCTCCTTGGCCCCGTGTGCCTTGGGGCGGCTCCTTCCCCTGTTCCCTCTACTTTATGGTGCGTCACCAAGCCAAGAGCTCTGCTGTCCCCTCTCAAAGGAGCAATGCAGGCAAAAGGCTGAGCCCTTCCTCCTCAGGGCGCTGGTGCTCCTGCTGCCACCGCGTGATAAATCAGTGCTCTCGGCTTTAGGAGCTGTTATAATTGGAGCGCCCTCACCCAGCGGGTCCGGTTACCGGGGGTTCCTCCTGAAAGCCTCAAGTGACCGCCTCCGCCCCCTGCAGAAACCCGAGCGACGGGGGATGTCTGTGCCCTTGTGAGCAGTGCTTTCCTCACCTTAGGTTTCAGAGATTTAAAGTAAACAAGGCTCGGCAGGGAGCTGGCACAGCCCTGGAGACTCGATCAGCCCCGAAGCCCCGTTGCGCACCGTGGGCTTGTGGTGCACCCAGCACCAGCCTCGGTGTCTTTGTTTCTGCCCCTGATCCCCAGCCATGCGCTCTGAATTCTGACTGCTTCCCAACGAGAGGGATATGGGCTGGTGCTGCAGTTCCCAGTGGATATCCCTTTCTTTCTTGATCCCCAGCAGCATGCCCAGAGCTGGCCGTGCCCGTGGCACCACATGGCATCACTCCAGAGCCACTGTTCCCGGGGGTTGGCACCAATGGGCAAAGCCACCGGCAGCTTCGTGGCACCGTTATGGATGGCTCTCAAGTGCCATCTCCATGCAGTGACGGCCCCGTGTCCCCTGTGGGCGCCTTGGAAGCGTTTGCTCCTTTGGGCAGCATCCAGCACGCTCTGGCCAAGGGCTGTCCCCAGCGGCGAGGCACAGCGCAGTCCCCGCACGGGGCCACCTCCAGCCCTCCCTCCCTCTCCGGTGGCCGTGTGCCGGCTCCCGCTCGCTGTTTGTGTGCGTTCTGGCCGGTGGGAGCACATGGAAGAGTGGCGTGTCCTTTGAACGGGCTCCAGCAGCAACAGGTGCTGGGAAAGGCGAAGCGGGCCGGCTCCTGCTGGTGTAAAGGATACCCCTCTCTCTCCGCACTAATCCGGCTCCGTTACACCCAGTATAGAAGGGGCTGCTCCGTCCAGGCGCTGCCACACTGCGGATGCTGCTCTTCTGACTGCCCTCTGCCCCGGGGACCCCAGGTAAAGGAGATGGGGGCTATGGGGTGGGTGAAGGGGTCCGTGCAGTCACCAGGGTCACCAGCTCCGTGGTGGCCACGGGTTCACCCAAACCACAAAGGCACAGGGCTGAGCACGAGGCACTGCAGAAGCTGTGGGAAGTCCTGTAAAAGCAGCCCCGTGGCCAGAAGGGTTGTTGGGGGGGTTGTTCCTGGGATGGGCCACCCACGTCTCAGAGACGGTCATGCAGGGAGCTGTGCTTTGGGTCCTGGGAGAATGGAGCTCGTGGTTGAGCGTGGTCAGGGCTGTGGGAAGCAGGGTATGAATGTGCTGCTGGGCTGGGAGTTTGTAGTGCCAGGCTGGAGACACACAGTGCTGGGCTGGGGGCTTGTACTGCTGGGCTGGGGGCTCATATAGTGCCAACCTGGCAGTCACACCAGGACATGTGCACCCACGGGCCCCCAGCTGCCCCGACCGTCCGCATGGCACCGTGACCACAACAGGTGCCGGTGTCAGGCTGCTGATCAGTCACTGCAGGGCAGATAGCGGAGCACCACGGCAGTGTGGCAGCCACGTGCATCCCGCTGCTCCCCAGTGCCCCCAACTCCTGTCTTCTCCCTGCAGGAGCCTCGCCGACCCGGGGCGGCCGCCCATGCCCATGGAGCAGCAAGAGGTGCCGGGCAGCACTGCCGACACGGGGGGGTCTGGAAGTGCGGCCCCCCCTGGAACAGAGACCAGTGCAGCACAGCCTGCCCCCCCTGCTGCCAGCAATGCTGTCCAGGCTCAGAATGGAGGGAAGGAAGAGCCCACGGAGACGGCTGTGGGTGCTGCAGGAGAGCCCCATGGAGGGACAGCGGAGCCCACACAGCAGAAAGTGCCAGCTGCTGCAGGGAAGGAAGAGCCTGGGAAGGCGATGGCTCCGGGTGCTGCTGCTGAAGCTCACGGTGCAGCGAGGGAGAAGGCTGAGCCTGAAGGAGGGAAGGCAGAGCCTGAGCAGGAGAAAGTCCCAAATGCTGCACAGCATGGGGATGGTGGGGAAAAAGAAGTTGCCAAGAAGGGGGCTTTGGCTGCGGAGACCGACA